TTTTGACAGAAATGATATATGACTACCAACAAAGTTTTTAAAAAAAATTAGCTTGGCCTCCCTAGGCAACGCAGGCCCAAATCAGAAGAAAAGTCGATAACCTGTGGGGGGGAAAGAGCAGAGGCAGATCACACATTAAGTAGTAGGCCTATGCATGTTGAGTATGGTACCGGTACATGTAGTAATTTAATGTCCTCAAACTGAACTAAAATGTAAAAAAGTCTTCACTAGACCTATAGACAACAAACACACAGAACACATGATAGCTGGAAATTTGTGTGGGTAATGTATTGAAGGGACAGTCTGGGATTGAAATAATGTGTGTGTTTGCCATTCCTATTTGAGAGAGAGATAGGGGAGTTGAGAAAGGGTGTTTTATGATAATGAAGACTGAATGACAGCAGACAACAAAATAGACATGCTTTGCATGCAACCAGAAAAGAGACAATATTTCTAATAATAATAATAATAATAAGAGCATTTGTATCCGCCTTTCTCCACAGCATGGGCCCAAGGCGTACATAGGAGATTAAAAACGCATTCATATTAACACTATACACATTCATCATGTGCGCACTTTTTGACAGCAACATTCTTTCCGACAATAAAAAATGCTCATACAAAAAGGCAAAGGTACTGTCCATTAATTAAAATATTTCTTAAATAGATGTGTTTTGAGTTCCCTTTTGAAGGTATCAAGTTTTATTTCGCTCCTCAAATCAAGAGGGAGAGTGTTCCAAACTGTTGGCCTAGAAAAAGAAAAAGCTCTCTCACCATATTTCTTCAGTGACACACGAGTTGTTGAAATTAGTCTAGAGCCACTGGATCTTAGTTCATGTGATGGTGTGTATGGTACAATGAGTTCTTGAATGTATGTGGGAGACTGGTTAGTTTGACCTTTGAAGCATAGTAGGGCTAACTTATATTCGATTCTCGCTTTCAGTGGAAGCCAATGGAGCTCTTTAAGTAGGGGAGTCACATGATGGCATTTTGATTTCTTTAATACTAGCCTGGTAGCATTGTTTTGAATGCGTTGGAGTTTTGCAATTTTTTCTTTGGGTAGGCCTGCAAACAGTGAATTGCAATAATCAATGCATGACAAAATGAAGGCAAACACTAGTTTTTTGGTGGCATCAGTGCTTAGAGATTTCCTTATGTGAGCAATTCTTCTCATTTCTAAGTATGACATTTTACATAGATGGTTAAGTTGGGTATCCATGGACAAGTCTTTGTCTAAGTATACTCCTATATTTTTTGCTTTGTTTGAAAAAGAGACAGTACCTTTGCCAATGGTGAGACATTCTACATCAAGAGCATTTATCTTTGAGCTGGTTGAGCATGGCATGATTTCTGTTTTGTCATCATTTAATTTCAATTTATTCTCAGTCATCCATGCTTTTACAGAGATTCAAAACATTCTGAGGTGTCTTTCAACAGAGATTGAATTTTGTTGGATTTTGTAGACTTATAAAATTGTGTGTCATCTGCATATATATGGTAGGGCATGGAATGGTGTCTGATGGTACGACCAAGGGGTAAGGTGTACATAGTGTACAGTACAGGGAATGTTTGTACTAGAGGTGTTCACAGCACAAATGTTGACACTTGGTTGGGAGTAAACTGGGTCAACTGACAGCTGGGTGAAAACATGTCTCAGGGCTTGTTGAAGGTGGAAAATGGCCAATGAGACTAAGAAAAAGGCAAACATGGCTCCAAAATGGTGGAATAACTTTCTTGATTCCTTACAGCATTTCATAATTTTAGCACCAAAATGGCCAGCACTGAAAGTTCTATTAGTCCATGATGTTGAAAATACATAAACCTTCTTGAAAACAGAGAAATTGGCACATTCATACAGAGCAAGTTGCACTGCTGCCTGCTAGGCGCTGATCACAACTCAACTGCAATTTTTCATCCAGAACAGATATTAATCCATGTGTCTACTGGTTCGGGAGCAGGACTGTCTTGTTAATCTTGTGGCGAACTGAACAGTTGTCCTGCTTGATGAACCACTGCGTGTATAATTTTCTATGGTGATGGAGCATGGTCTTACAAAAGATGACGCACGCTGACTTGATGATCTGGGTTGGGTGGTCATCTTTAGAGGAGAAGTGGCAGTAAGCACGGTGTTCCTTTTGTCTCATAAAGACTCTTGATGACAAAGCGTCTGTCACCTCCAGCTAAACTTTCAGTATGGTTGACTCTGACACGCTTCTGAACGGGCCTGTTTTGTTTGAAACAAGAAGACGCCTCAAGACCTTGTCTGCCATAGAAATAACAGAAGACATGTCGGAGCTCGCATACTGTAGACCTCCTTTGTCTCTTCGTTGAGTGAAAGCTGCAGGTCCTGGAAGCGAAGAGCAATGCACACTGTTGGCATTTCACTTTCTCAACCATATTCCTTGCGATGTACCCACTGATGTAGTACACAGCATCACTGTGGTATGGAGACGGCTCGCAGAGAACTTTGAGAAATTGCTGGTAGGGGTAATTTTCACTCAGGCTTTTATCTTTTTCACTGTGCAGAGGTGTGCAGTAGACCGCAAGACTGTTGATATTTGCCTCTGAGCCATCTAGACTGCGCAGGGTGTTGTCGAGGAATGGTGTGCAGTTGCCTCGGTTGGATGCCAGCACACCATTTTTCTGGAGCAGAGCACGAAGCACATACTGGAACTGGAGGACATTCGGATTGTTGTTCCCTCCTCCTTGCCTCCAAATACACCCAAAAAATGTTTCTAAGTGGTCTTGGGACGACTGGAAAGTGAGGACATAACTGTATTTGTGGGCAAATAGTCTCTCTGCAACCTTTTGGACTGACTGCATGGATGTCACAAACCCTACAAACCCAGTCTTCCTGCGCCCAGGCACAAGAGGTTTCCCGGTGGTATCTGTGAGAGCACGAATGTAATTGGAGGCTTCATTTTGAATGACTTCGAGGCGTTGTAGCTGGGTTTTGGATAGGATGATCATACCAAGGCCATAGTCCACTACAGACAGTGCAACCGCTTGAAGCATGATCATAAGGGCGCGTTGGGGAATAAATGCAGCCATCACTCTCAGTTCAACTAGTCCTTTCCTTGCTCTGGTGATAATGTTAGTCACATGGTCTTTTGCCGAAAGAGTGCGGTCAAAGGTAATGCCCAAGTACTTCAATTTCTCTTGCCTTTCCTACTGCGTACCCTGTATATTAACAGTAGGCATGATAGCCTTAACTGCCCTGTTGTTGAGACTAGTCCACAGTACCCCTGCCTTCGCTGGATTAAGTTTTCCATTGTTCTGTTCACACCATTCACCTATTCGATCCAATTCCTCATGCATGCCCGGCGTCGGTAGCCTAGTGGTTAGGCTACCGGACTTGTAATCGTGAGATTGCGGGTTCGAGCCTCAGCTCGGTCCGACGTTATGTCCTTGGGAAAGACATTTTACACGAACTTCCC